GTTTTTTTTTTTTTTTTTTTTTTTTGGTACTGGGGATGAAACTCGGGTCCTTGCATTTGAGAGGCAGGTGCTGGAATCACTGAGCTAAATTTCCAGCCTTCAGCAGTATTCACTCTGTGCTCAGCCTTGCACCTGCTCTGCCTCATTTTTGGCAGTGCTGGGGATGGAACCCAGGACCTCACACAGGTTAAGCACCTGCTCTGCCGCTGAGCCACACCGCAGTCCTGCTTGTTGTGTGCAGTGCTCTCCCCACACCTATATGACACACGCCTCCCTTCCCGCGGTCAGCTACGCGGTAAATCCTTGGTTAAGTCTCCACTGACTTCTGCTCCCCAGCCCCTTTGGAATTGCTTTCTCCGTAGTATTTATCAGTCTCTGGTATCTTTGGCTTCATTTATCCTGTTTATGATCCATCTCCTCTAGAAGTCAGGTCTCTGAGAACTGGGACTGTAGTCTTGTTCACTAATACGTGCCATCCAGTAAGTTTTTGTGGTGCTGGGAAATGAATCCAGGACCCTGTGTGGTTTGGTGCTCTTAGCATTCTCTCTCATCCTCCTTTCTTCTTATCTGATCCCAAAAGTCCAAAAGGTCGAGCAAGGGTGAAAACCACAGCAAGCTGGTACATTAACTCGTGACTGCCCATTGTCCTGTCACGTACCAGCTCTTCCTGCCCCGAGGAGCCATTAGCCCTGTGTCCTGCAGCCCAGCAGTGGTCTTGGACCCCAGCAAAATGTCAAGCCAGGATTTGAGGTAAGCCCTGGTGGGGTGGCTGGTGTGAAGAAGAGTTGCTCAACCTCTCTAGATCCTGAAGAATATGGGTGTGGTGGTGCTCACCTGTAGTACCAGCACTTGAGAGGCTGAGGCAGGAGGATTGCCATGAGTTTGAGGCTAGCTTGGGTTACAATGTGAGTTCAAGGCCAGCCTGGACTATACAGTAAGAAGCTGTCTCAAAAAACAAAACAAACAGGGCTGGGGATTTAGCTCAGTGGTTCTGCCACCTGCCTCGCAAGTGCAAGGACCCAAGCTTGAGCCCCAGTACCAAAAACAAAAACCAGATCCTGACAAATAAGCTGAATTGGAAGGAAAAGCAAGTGAGACCCATTTCACCAAGTTTATGTATATCGTTGCCCCCACAAAAAAACATACAAGTATGTATTTTTAAGCATAGCTTATGGATTGGATGCATTTTCACAGGTTGCAGAATTTAAGACACAATCCTATTGTGGTCACAAAGTTTCTTGTTTATTTATCACGGTTCCTTTGTGAAGAAACCTACTGTTATCTTCTTGACCACTTCCAGATAATCTATCTCCAAATATTTTCCCCACCTACCTCTGGCCTCATAAATAAGGAAATTGTACTAGGTTCCAAGGAGACTGAAAAGTTGTTTCTGTCTTTGTTCCATCTTCCCAACTCCTATACTTACCCAGGACACAGGGGCCACTTTATCTAGTTTTACATTCCTTTTACTTTGGTTAGAATTAGATAATCACAGCACTTGAACCCTGGTTATCTCCTGCTGACTAGCAGCCTTCATCCTCTTATTATCAACAGCCTGGGGAGTGGGACCTGCAGGGAGGTGCAGTAATTTGCTCTAGCAGACAGCAGAGCAGGATTCTCATTCAGTTCTGCTTGAGCTGAAGCCCCAAAGAAAGCTGCAGTGTTTGGAACCTTTTTTACACGTGGCTGAAGGGTGAGGAGAAGCCAGAGACCAGGGTCTGGGGCAGCTCCACAGAAAGCTGAGGCCGCAGGAGCTGCCAGTGCCTTGGAGGCGGAGCTGCCTAGGCCTCTTCCCAGAAGCTTGTGGGGTAGACACTTCTCCATTGGGCTGGGGAAGATGCCACAGTGTGCCCAGGGAGAGACAATGGGTTGGGGCGGAGGCTGAGGAGAGGGCTGCCATTTCTACCTTTCTTGGCCCTGTTCCTGCTCTCCTGCCCCTCTTGACCCCACCAAGCCCCGGTCCTCCCTCACACAGCCTCTCCTCCTTGTGGCCTAGCCTCACCGCCAAACTCATCAACGGAGGAGTGGCAGGGCTCGTGGGGGTGACCTGCGTGTTCCCCATCGACTTGGCCAAGACCCGGCTGCAGAACCAGCATGGAAGAGACATGTACAAAGGAATGTAGGTGCGGGTGGTGGCGTGGGCAGGGAGGGCACCCGCGGAAGGGTGGCTGTCTCACCCCTTCCCATTTTTCCAGGGAGTATGCGGATGGTGGGGGGCTTGAGGGCTGAGGTCAGCAGAGGTGTGCCCGGCATACACGGGATGGTGTACAGGACAGAGATGCAGATGGGTAGCCTCCTAGTCACCACTGACGTCCTCTCTGGCCTCTGCTTCCAGGATGGATTGCCTGGTGAAGACAGCACGTGCAGAGGGCTTCTTCGGCATGTACCGAGGTGGGCTGTTGGGCCTCCGGGGGAGGCCTGGCCTGGGTCTGCTGAGGACAGTCAGGTGGCCCAGAGGCTCAGGCCTTGCAAACAGATAGCATACTGGGTATGGATGTTCCTTCTGCCCAGAGAGCTGCTGGGATGGGGCCTGGGACTCCAAGTGACCCTGGACTACTGACTGTGCCTCCTTTGGTGGAGGTAGAAGTAGCTGTCCCTTAGTAAGCCTTCCCTAGTGAGCCATGCTGGGGCTCAGGAGTCCAGGTTCCCTACAGGTCCTACCACTGCCTCAGTGTGTGTGTGTGTGTGTGTGTGTGTGTGTGTGTGTGTTTTAATCAGCATCTTGCTAAGTGTCCCAGACTGGCCTTGAACTTGCAATCTTTCTGCCCCAGCCTCCTGAGAGCAAACCCAACGGCCCACTGTGTGAGGTGAAAGCAAGTGAGCCCTACCCCGGCTGCCTTCCACCTCCCTTTCCCTCTGTAGCTCCAACTGCTGCTGGAGGAGGCTCACGGGGTCAGGATGGAGAGGGCTCTGAGCTCTTCCCTGCTTGGATCCTGCCCTACTGCTGTCCCCTGCAGCATCCCCAATCATAGGCCTTGGAAAATGGGCCCAAAGCTGGTGCAGAGAAGACTTAATGAATCCATTCCCCTGAGAAAGAAAATAAAAACCTGACCAGGAAGAGTGGCACATGCAGGCCTGTGATCCTAGCTATTTTCTTTTCTTTTCTTTTTTTGGTACCAGGGATTGAACTCAGGTCCTTGTGCTTGCAAGACAGGCGGCGGAACCACTGAGCTAAATCCCTGGCCCTATGTAATCCTAGCTATTAGGAGGTGGAGGCCAGAGAATCCCAAATTCAAGGCCAACCTGGGTCACTTAGCAAGACTCTGTCTCAAAATAAATAAAAGGGATGGGGATATAGCCCAATGAGAAGCCCTGGGTTCCATCCCCAGTACCACAAAAAATAATAATAAAAAAATAAAAACCTATGTGAAGTGCTCGGCTACTTGTGGGGCTGGACGGTGTGATGGAAAAGCCTGTCCCTGTCTCTTGGGGTTCACTGTTGGGAGGTAGAGGAGAAAAATAAGATGACATCCTGGGGTGAGTGTGGTGGCACACACCGTAACCTTAGCACTTGAGAGGCTGAAGCAGGAGGATTGCTGTGAGTTTGACACCAGCCTGAACAAAATAGTGAGACTCTGTCTCAAACAACAAAAAATGACTTCCTGATAACTGGATGTGGGGGTCCCTACAGAAAATGAACGCATAACAAAGAGAAAGGAATGAGAAAAAATTGCTTCACTGGAATAACAGGCCAAGGAGCCCTGCTCCAGCCTCGGTGAGCAGTCCCTTGGGGAGGACCGCAGCTGCTCACCTCTGTTCCTCACCGTCAGGGGCCGCAGTGAACCTCACCTTGGTCACCCCGGAGAAGGCCATCAAGCTGGCAGCCAACGACTTCTTCCGGCAGCTGCTCATGGAAGACAGGTATGTCCAGGCTGCGGCAGGCCAGAGAGCCCGTGCAAACATGCCTCCGTTGCCTGTCTGCATACATTTGAATATAGGCATGCCTATGGCTGAGGGCTGGTGTGTTTAGGTAGTGGAAAGGAACAGAAAGAGCGAGTGTAACTTGGGAGATAGGCAATATCTGCAGGTGAGAATATAGATTCATCAACTAGGTGATGAGGTTTTAAATCAACCCCAGAACAGTTTGAAGTTCTGCCTTCCCATTGCCCAGAGGGAAGATGGGAGGGACCAGGGAGAAGCAGAGCCGAGGGTGGGTAGCTCTGCTCCTTGGCCATCACCGACTTCCCACTCCCTAGCAGCCTCTGAGATTTAGACTCAGAACTTTAAAGAGACCAGGGTTGGGGACCAGGTGCTTATTTAGCCAGTGGTGACAGGGACAAAGTTCGCATCAGTGGAACATCTCAGCCATTGAGGAGGGTCGATGAGCCAGGACGGTGGCAGGGCCGGCCTGACCTGAGGGAGCCTCGTGGTCCCACAGGATGCAGCGGAACCTGAAGATGGAGATGCTAGCCGGATGCGGGGCTGGAATGTGCCAGGTGGTGGTTACCTGTCCCATGGAAATGCTCAAGATTCAGCTGCAGGATGCTGGACGCCTGGGTGAGGCCTAGCCCATCTTCACATGTGGTCAGTAAGGCTGAGTCAGGACAGGTCACACCGGTCTCCCACCCTCACGGCCCGCCATGTACATGGGTCTAGTCAGCTCTCCAGGTCAACAGAAACCTTTATTTTATGGCGACACCTCTCAACACTTCCAGGTCTAGAACAAACAGCAGAAATGAAAACTTTAATTCAGGAGAGACGGAGAATGCCCCCACCTAATACCTCTGTGGCTTCACATTCAGGCTGATTTCCTAAAGATTTTAAGAAATGTCGATGACTTGCTCTTTGAACTCTTCAGTCAGTAGGCATTTTATGCTGTAGAAGCTGGCTTTTCAGAAGCAGGCACAAAATGGGAGAAGAGAAACATTCCTATTCTCTTTGGTTTTCCCTAGAAGAGAGGTTTGGCCCTTTTCTCAATCCCGGTCCTCTCAGAAACAGTGGTGCAGGTACCATTGCCTGTAGTAGAGGGAGAGGGGCCTCTTCTCAGGGATCCGCCATGTTAAACAAGCTCTAGTATTTCTAAAACACTTTGGGGACGTTTTTCCCTAGCCCTGGGGGTTGAACCCAGGGCCTCTGCACTGAGCTGCATCCCTAGCCCATTTATATTTCAAGACAGGGTCTCAATAAGTTGCTAAGTTGCCCACGTTGGGCTCTTGCCTCTGAGTTGTCCGAGAGCTAGGACTGATTTAGTGGATTTCTTTGGGAGTGTTTTGGGGTACCTGCTGAGGCCATGGGTTGAGTTGGAGCCTGTCCTTTCCTTTCAGCAGGGCATCCCCAGGGCTCGGCCTCGGCACCTCCATCCTCCATGTCCTACGCCATGGGCTCAGCTTCCACCCACAAACGCCCGTCTGCCACCCTCATCGCCTGGGAGTTGCTGTGCACACAGGGCCTGGCTGGTCTCTACAGGGGCCTGGGGGCCACACTGCTCAGGTGAGCCCTGCTTCCTTCCAGGGTGCATGGGCATACTGGACCTGTTTCTTGGGGCCAAAGGGCACTGCCACCTCTTACCGGGCATTCCAGGCCAGTTTGGGAGGCCACTGCCATGCTTCCTGCCACATCACGATGGCCAAGGTCACATAGAGTGGGCACCTGGAGACTAAGGTTTTAGGCCCCTTCTCCAATGACCAGGAGTGTGAGTACTGGGTGTGTTATGGGCTAAAGGCACCTAAGAGGCCTGCAGCTCATCTGCACATGAGTGGACACCTGCGACTCCGTGCCACTCAGCCTGTGTCCCCTTACAGAATGCGCTGTCCTAGCTCCCGATCTGTAGGCACAGGTGCTGGCCGGGCAGAGCACTGAACAGGGTAGGGGCACACAAAGACCTTTCCTGCTACGCAGACTGTCTCCCTACCCCACCATGGGTGCCCAGCAAGGAGGCCGTAACTACAGAGCACTTGTGCCCTGCCTGCTGAGCTCACAGCTTCCCACCTGCCCCTTCAATGCTCCTTCCTCCCCTGGCAGAGACATTCCCTTCTCCATCATCTACTTCCCGCTGTTCGCCAACCTCAACAACCTTGGAGTCAGCGAGCGCACAGGGAAGGCCTCTTTTGCTCATTCCTTCGTGTCAGGCTGTGCTGCGGGTTCTGTGGCTGCTGTGGCAGTCACACCTCTGGATGGTAGGTGTGTGAGGGCAGAGGGGCTGGGCTCTGGGCTGCCCAGCTGTCTACAGGACAGACAGAACCCCGGGGCAGTGTAGCTGCAACTCACCTGTGGGTGGGCACCCTGGGGCTGACAGCACTCACCAAGGTCCTCACAGACAACCACTTGTCTGAGGACAGTGTCTCTATTTATCATCGACAGCCCCCTCCAGCCCAGCATGGCAGTGCGTGCCTATAATCCTAGCATTCTGGGAGGCTGAGGCAGGAGCATCACAAGTTTGAGCCCAATCTGGGCAATTTAGCAACTTAGTGAGACTCTCAAAAAAAAAGGAAGAAGTAAAGAGTGGGACCTTGGAATGTAGCTCAGTGTGAAACTTCTGTGTTCAAACCCCAGAAACACACACACACACACACACACACACACACACACACACACACGAAAAAACAAGCACAGCTTTGTACTGGCAATTTAGCAACTTAGTGAGACTCTCAAAAAAAAAGGAAGAAGTAAAGAGTGGGACCTTGGAATGTAGCTCAGTGTGAAACTTCTGTGTTCAAACCCCAAACACACACACACACACACACACACACACACACACACACACACACGAAAAAACAATCCCTCAGCTTTTTACACGCGAATTTCTTTAGCTTTGAGCCAAAGGCAAGAGCTGAGTGGAAGACAGTGCCTCCCCTTGTCCTGGGCCACAAGCCTGCTACACAGGCGGCTTCTCCAGCAGGTCCTGGTGTTTTCTAGTCCCTCCAGTGACAGAACTGGCTCTGCAGGTGCAGGTCCATCCTGTCTGTGCGGGCTCTCCCTATGTGGGGAAGAGGCCAGAGTGAGGTGTTCACTTTGTACTTTAATTTTTGCTCCATTTAGTTCTGAAAACTCGAATCCAGACCCTCCAGAAAGGCCTGGGTGAAGACAGTTATGGCGGGACAGTTGACTGTGCCAGGTGAGCCCACACCCCTGCCGCTCCTCACCTATATCTGTTTGATTGTGGAGCCCCAGTGTTTTTGTTTTGTTTTGAGACAGGTTCTGTGTAGGCTAAGCTGGCCTCCATCTCCTGGCAATCCTCCTTTCTCAGGCTCCCAAGTGCTGGGATTATGTATGCACCATCACACCTAGCTGGAGCCTTAGGGGTTTTTTTGCAATCTGTCCCTTTCCCTCATCTCTTGGAGGAATAAAAAAAAAAAAGTATTGGGGTCCTTTTTGCTCTCCCAAATTGTGATCCAATCAAGCCTATCTAGCAGGGCCTGGATCCCACCGCCAGCCAGCAGACTGCACCTGTGTCGGGTGAGGGGAGGCTCCCTCCTGTGCTGTGGGAAGTGACGCCTCCTCACGAAGGGGCACAGATGCTTGAGACACTGGCTGAATGTGCACCTTCCCAGCAGCTCACTGGCTTTTCCTTCTCTGCAGGAAACTCTGGACCCGGGAGGGACCGGCCGCCCTCATGAAGGGAGCAGGCTGCCGCGCCCTTGTCATAGCGCCCCTCTTTGGCATCGCCCAAGGTGTCTATTTCTTTGGTATCGGGGAGCGTGTCTTACAGTGGTTAGAGTAGCTCAGGCTGGAGCGACAAGTCCCGTTTGCTGTGACCTCCCTTAGACTAGAAGGGGTGAAGGGAGGGCGAGGCACTGGCCCAGGCTGTGCGCTGCCCACTGCCCTCTGATGCTGTGCTACCTCAGCCTCAGCCTCAGAGGAGCAGCCCACCCCATGATTGCTCAGAAACCCCTTAACAATGCTAGCTTTGTCACCCAAGACCTTCACGGGGCAAGGAACAGCTGAAGGGCTCTTTCTGATTTTAACACTGCCCTCTCACTCAAGCTCAGTAGACTTGAGTCAGTGGGAGGATTTAGTTTGGTTAATCTCCAGTTAATAATAACATGGTTAGTCCCAGTGCTGATGTTAAGCAGAGGCGTCAGGGGTCCAAGCGGACTAGCGCCAGCGCCTGGCCTGAGCCAGGGACCCCGTGAATGTCACAGACAGGGCCAGGCCCAGCAGCTGCCTTGCCCCAAGCTCTCCTGTAGCCTGTGCTTGGGCAGGCCGGATGACATCTGCGGGGCACTGGCCGAAATAAAGCTCAAGTCTCGTCTTGTGAGGGAATCGTGTTGTCTGCCTTTATGTTTGCTTCAGAACCAAACTGGTTTGTAGAGCCCTGCAGCAGGGCACTGCCATCTGTAAGCTGTCACTCGCGACAGTGAAGACCCAGGAGGTACTCTTTTTACCTGGGTTTTGGAGTCTTGCTTCTCTCTGTCCATCACTTCCTAAATGCCTCACCTTGAGGAACTGGGTCTGCTGAGGGCTGTCCTCATGAACCTCAGTTCCTTTTCTCCGGAAGCTGCCTCAGAGATAATGTCACACAAATGAAGGAAAAATGCCTGTTCCAAGAGCCGGTACCTACCCATGTTCCCTCCAGACGTAAAACAGAGGGAGCGGGCAGTGCCAGAGTTGTCAAATTGGTGACCTCACTCCGTAAGAGGACGCATGTGGCACTGGCCCTCTAGACAGGTGCAGATAAGGCCCAGCCCAGCTCTGCCCTGCCCAGCTCTGCCCTGACCACCTGCGGGATCCTGGGCAGCCCTCAGTTGCTGAGGACCAAAGAATGGGGAGGGAGAAAGAAGTTCTCTGCACAATGATTCTTCCTAGCACAAGGTAAGCCCCCCAAAACTTGTTTCCTTTTTTACACTGCCCACATAGATCAATTTCCCTAGTAAAGTTGTGTAACTCATAAGGCTGAGGTGTATCTTACCATGCATGAGGCCCTGGGGGCCACCTCTAGCATCCAAAAAAAAAAAAAGTTATAAACTCTTCCGGGGAGTGAAAATACTGAACCACCGCGGGGAGCATGTAGAAGACAGTAAGGGGCTGGGAAGAACACTGGGGTGATGGTCGGGTGAAATGCCAGGGAGCCCCAGGGCATGTAATGCTTTCCTCAGCAACAACTTTATTTTGCGATGGGGTCTTGATATGTTGCCCAAGTTGGCCCTGAGCTCTGGGCTCTAGTGATTCTCCTGCCTCAGCCTCCTGAGCAGCTAAGACTACAGGCACCAGCCACCATGCCTGGTAGAACTCACTCTCTCAAACCACAAACCTGCAGTGACTTATGTAAGAAATTACAAGTAGGCCCAGGGATTTAGCTCAGTGGTTCTGCCGCCTGCCTTGCAAGCTCAAGGACCTGAGTTCGATCCCTGGTACCAAAAAAAAAAAAAAAAAAAAAAAGAGATCACAATTACATCGACATAAACCTTTTGTTTTAATAAATAAGATCTTCATGGTTTAGATTTTAATCACATTTACAGATGAGGAAAACTAGGCCCAAACAGGTAAGGGTGAAGCTCCTACGGCTGGAAGGAGTGCAGGCCGACATGCGATTTACACCTAAGAGCAGGAACAGCATGCACGGCACCCTCTGGACAGCTGCAAGGGTGGAGGGGAGAGGTGGTGGGGAGCCCTGCCGCGGGAGCTGTGGGTTCCAGGTGAGCCAGGGCAGGTCCTGCTCACACGGGGTGAGCTTCTCCCTCTGCTATCGGGGCCAAGGGTTTCAGCTACAAAAGGGCATCATGGGTAAATGCAGAACAGTATTAGAACAGCCGAGATGAAGATACACAGACAATCTTGCTTCTTCAGATGCAGCACAGAGGACGAACTCCACCTCCCCAAGGCTTAGTCCAAAAACTTCCTATTCACATTTGCACCGAACAAGGCTCCCCGAACCTCTGGCATCATCTGTGAAGAAGCAATAAATGAGTGTCACCAACTGGGGAACTTGTCAGGAACTACACTTCTGCCTAACCACAGGCAGGAAGTTGTTAACTTCTGTACGGCTGGGGATGAGCCCACAAAGCTAAGGGCACAAAACCTGCCCCTCACTCACCAGATGCAGCGGAACAGAAATTTAGCTAATCCCAAACTGCTTAGCAAGTGTGGAAGAAAATCTCAGGTTAGGATTGTGTCTGCCCTGTTACACTGTGATGGAGGGAGATGAGGTGAAGCCACAGACAGCATGGCCTCACCATACCCCGCATCACCTACATCCTGACACTTCCCGAGTGCCTACCAGTGCTCTACACAGAACGCTTAGAATGCAAGTTTGTGCTAAAGCACTCATACTAACAACTAATAAATCCTGAGGCGGATTTAACCTCAACACCTGCCCCCACTCCGGCCCTCTGGTACTGGGGATTAAACCCCGGGCCTTCACGCATCCATAGCCCTTAAAACATTGGTTTTTTGTTGGTTTTTTTGTGTTTTTTTTTTTTTTTTTTGCTCCCTACTTGCCCAGGTGGGCTTGAGCATGGAAAGTGTGCGTCACCCATGACAGCTTTTTTAACCGCCAATATTTTTTTTCCTGGTACTGGGGATTGAACTCAGGACCTTGCGCTTGCCATTCAGGTGCAGTGCCACTGAGCTAAATCTCTGGCCCCTAACCTCAGACTTCCAAGGCCGTGCTGTGGCAGCCACATGTGACTACTGCGTGAGACTGAGGAAGGGTTAGTGCAGACCTGGGTACAGAACCCAGGGCCCCGCACTTGCTGAGCAAGACTCCACCACTGGGACACACAGCGCCAACACCGAAACTACTGGATGATGCCACTCACGCGCTCTGGTCACAGGATCAGCATCCACGCCAACAATAAGCCATGCTTGTAAAGTCAGGAAACAGTGCAGTGGCAGCCACAGCAGCAGACCACACTGCAGACCCCTTGTAAGACAAGAGAGCCTTCGCTGGCTCCTTTCCTAGAGTTCAGTTTGCGTAAACGTGGAAAGATCTGAAGAGCCAGGAGCCTTATAACGTTGCCTTTAAACAAATATTTCAGGGCCGGGGATTTAGCTCAGTGGTTCCCCGGCCTGCCTCGAGTGCAAGGTCTCGAGTTTGATCCCCGGTAGCAAAATACAAATATTTCAGTTCTCATCATTCTTTTAAAAAAAAGAGCCACATTCAACATTATTTTACTTGAAGGCCAGGGATTTATTTAGCTCAGTGGTTCTGGCGCCTGCCTTACAAGCACAAGGACCAGAGTTCAATCCCTGGTACAAAAAAAAAAAAAAAAAAAAAAAAAAAAAGAAAGAAAGAAAGAAAACATTTTACTTGGTAACTGTATTACATAATATAGCAAAATGATACTCCCTAAGTATTTACTATGTATCTTCACTATGCAGTCATAATCAGACCTTTGATTTATTGGTGTATAAAGTGAATAACACACATATGAAAAAAATATTCATCTAGAAGCAACCAAAGTCACTCAAGTGGGTGCTCCAAATTTTAAGATGTTATCTGTGAAATCAGAAAAAAACACAAGAGGAGCCGTATATGTGATCGAGCTGGACATCTTTTTGCTGAAGAAAGTGAGAGTATTCTCCAGCATCTAACAGACAGTTGATGGTGGAACTTTCCTCTCTCTGTTTGCTATTACATCTACTCCCTGATTCCCTCAAATTCCCACTGTGCGTCTAGAGCAAGAGCTAAGCATCTGTGCACAGTAAGATGTACGCATCAGAACTGTGGAGAAACAAGACTCGGTTTAGGCCCCAAACTCTTCATGCAAATGTGATCATCTCAGTAAGTGCCACTGCATGCCTAACCCTCATTCCTTTTAAGAAATGAGAACTGGGATGATAAACCCTAAATACCAATACACGAACACGTATTATCCACTCCGCTTCAAAGCCACCAGCTGCCGGATGATAAGAAGCCCTCCCCACTCACCTGCTGGGCTATGAGATCCAGCCGGCTTTCCAGGGTGTTGGAAACTTTTATTTTCCGATCCCCATTATAGATCTCAACTCCACCAGCTCTGCAAAGAACAAAAACAACAGCTTTAGAGTTGAGGAAGGCAAACACTGGTCATACCGATCATACTGATTTGCCCCCTGGAAGGTTATTTAGGTATATCGAGGTGGGCACTGTGCAACGTGAGCAGCTGACTTGAAATTCATTCAAAACACTTCTAAGGATCGAAGGTACCGGTGCTGATAATGCAAGTTACTGCCATGTGTCACTCTGTGATAGTGCCTAACCTAACAGCACTGCCAACAAGAGGAAAGCCCACACGATGAGAGCCCACACCTGAAGGTGTGAAGTCCAAGGCCACTGACCAGGCTGTCCCTCACCCCGAGTCCTCCCCTAACCACACCTCACTTGTCACTGCTTCCCACAAAGTCTCTAGTCACTTGAGGCATAAGGTAAATATGTTCAACTGTTTTACAAGGATCCTTAGAGAACAAAATCCATTTACTACATAATGTTTTTAAGTGTTTCTTAAAATAAGCAGGCCATCAGACAAATGCTGGGAGACACTCTGCAACTTTTCTTTGGAAGAAATTTTTTTTGTACTGGGGATTGAACCCAGGGCATTCACATTGAACTACATCCCTAACCCTTTTTATCTAATTCTGAGACAGTCTTGCTAAGTCACTGAGCTGCCCAGGCTGGGCTCAGCCTTGCAATCCTCCTGCCTCAGCATCCCAGAGCACTAGGATTATAGTGTGTACCACTATGCCTGGTTCTTTGGTACTGGGGATTGAACTCAGGACCCTGCACTCACAAGTGTGTATGGTTCTTTGGAAAATGTTAATGGACAAAGATCCTAATATTTTTTTCTTACTATATATTCCCAGCCTTCCCACTTCTTGGTTTTATCTGCTTTTGGTTTTTCTAAACAGCCTGTGTTCCTCACAAAGGCACACTGGTTCCTACCTGAAATCCTGCCTCTCAGAAGCATTATTTTGCCTACCTTAGGGGTGTGGATGTAAGGGAAGGGGCACAGAGAAGGAGTCAGCCAGGCCGTACTGTCAGTCTACCCACAGGCCTCATGGCTTCTCTTTAATCTTCCCAATACTCTACGAGAGTCGTAGTACACATACCACTTCATAAACAAGAAAACAGGCTTAGGGCCAGCCGGGGATTTAGCTCAGTGGTTCTGCCACCTGCTTCACAAGCGCAAGGGCCCGAGTTCCATCCCCAGTACCAAAACAAAACAAACAAAGAAAACAGGCTTAGAGATTGACTAAAATATTAGAGTAGCTGCCCTGCAAAGATTTTGTTTTTAGGCAGTTTTTTTTTTTTTTTTTTTTTTTTTTTTGGTATCAGGGATTGAACTTGGTTGGGACCTTGTGCTTGCGAGGCAGGTGAAGATTTTGTTTCTAAAATAAGGTCTTGCTATGCAGTCCAGGCTAGACTTGAACTCATGATGCTCCTGCTTCAGCCTCCCATGCTGGAGGCTGTGGTGGAGTCACAGCCCTGTGCCAACATGCCCAGCTCTGACAAAATTTAAATGACACTTGCATAGGATAAATCTATAAACCCTTCTCTATAAATCTATATTTATAAATTATTTATCTATTTATAAATCTCATTTATCTCTCTATAAATCTATTTATAAATGTTACTTATAAACCTATAAACCTTATAATTATAAATCTATAAACGCTTATCAATTCAAAAGGCTCTGAAAAAAAACAAAACAAAACAAAACAAAAAACCAAAAAACCAAAAAGCACTGACTACAGCTGAAACCAGAACTGGCCTTCAGGCAATGGGCAGCAAACGACTAACAAATCATAATTTTATTTTTTCCTTGCAGTGGAATATGCCTCTTTGCACTCAGCACCACCAGTGCATTTGTGACGGGGTGAGGCCTCGGCCCTTGTAGGGTAGACTGCACTGCACCAACCGCAGATAGGGAACGGGCATCGCTTGTTTGTTCTGGGGACAGGATGAGGCTCTTTGGCCCAGCCCACTGCTCACCAGCTTCAGAACTGAGGCCCGTGCAACTGCACTGACTGTGCCGTGTCCACAGCAATGCCCCGGGCGGGCACTGTGCCCAGTGCTGGCAGACACCACCCCAGTGGGGCTCCCCAGGAACTCTTCGGTGGGGGCTGCTGTCCTCATTTGGAGAGGAGGAAACTGAGGCTCAGTGAGATTCAACTGCTAGTCCAAGATCAGAGCAAGTAAGTGGCAGAATGGAGAATCAAACCCAAATCTGAGCATGCGTGAGGCTCTGGGTTCAATTCCCAGTGCCACCCACAGAAGTGCCCAACTCCGGTAATGTTCTGATCTAGATCCTGTACTCCTAAGTTTTTTAGGCCTCCCCTCCTCTACCTTCACAGTGTGTTCCAGGGACCCTGTTCCACAGGAGCCGATGGTGTGGCTGGATGACAGCAGATAGGCACATGACCCGGACGGAGAGAGGCCTCAGCCCTGTCCTGGTCAGGAGCTCTAACCCTGACAAACCGCATCAAGGTCAGTGGGGACATGAGTCCGGCACTGTCACTTCCTCAGTCAATACAAGTGCCACTGTCATGTGACTGTCATTGCTAGATACATGTGATGACTGTTGTTTTTCTGTTTTGCTTTTGGTACTGTGATTCAAACCCAGGAACTCACCAACACTGATCAAAGTACCCAAGTCTTGTTTCTGAGCGCTCTTTAGGAGTACAGATTATCCAGCATTCAGAGCCTCAGAAAAGAGAATCAAGTTCAAGGTCAGGCAAGAGTGTCTCAAAGAAACAAAAACTAAGTCAGGTGTGGTAACACACACCTGTGAATTTCAGCACTCTGAGAAGCGGGGCCAGAAAATGGCAAGTTTGATCCCAGCATGGGCAACTGAATGAGACTTTCTCAAAAATCGGGGGTGGGGGTGGGGCCGGGGGTAGAGATCAGGGAGAAGCCTTGGGTTCAATCCCAGCACCACAAACAAATCAAACAGGAAAAGAAGTAGGGATTATCCTCCCTCAGCATCCAGTACAGAGATCTGCAATACACAGATTTGCATCCCTCAACTCAAAACACTCAGAACACTCCTTACATGTCCTCAGGCAGGTAGAACTCCTGATCAATTTGAACATCAACATCTTTCTTGGTGGCGATTTTGTACATAGGGATCGCTTTTTGTACCGCAGCCTGAAAAACAGAAAAGAATGAAAGATTTGAACAAACTATAGAGCAAATACCACCCCCCCAGATCAAGCGGTTACACAAGCAAGAATAACCCTTCTGCTCTTAGGTTTTAGGGCTGGGGATTTAGCTCAGTGATGCCACTGCCTGCCTCGTAAGCACAAGGTCCCAAGTTTGATCCCTTGTACCAAAAATAACCAAAAAAGCCTCTAGAGGATTATTGTGAGTTTGAGGCCAGTCTGGACTACATAGTGAGACCCTTTATCAAAAAAATTAGATTAGGGCTGGGGATTTAGCTCAGTGGTTCAGTGGCCTGCCTTGCAAGCACAAGAATCTGAGTTCAATCCCCGGCACCAAAAAAAAAAAAATTAGATTAGCTGTATGGCCTGGTCACTGACTAACCTCGCCGGGCAGAGATTCCAGGTGTGAAGAGCAGGAGGAAGACATCATTACCCCAGCTAGGAGCATCAGCACTGTGAAGGGAGATGTGATGGACAGGAGTGTGGCTATTCGTTTTTTAAATTATTTGTAATTTCCTATAGCGCTGGGGATGAAACTAAGGGCTTCACTCATGCTACGCAAATGCTGCACCACTGAGCTACAGCCCCAGATCAATACTGACCCATCCTTTTAATGGTGACAGTTGCAAAAGAGAGGGTGACAACATACGTAACAGCCAGGTAATGTGGGGTGAACCAGTAGTCCCAGCTCTCCGGGAGGCTAAGGCAAGAACATCTCGAGTCCAGAGTTTATGGACAGTGTGGACAATGTAGCAAGACCTGGCACCAAAAACCCCATGAAAACCAAAAAGCAAGTGTCGAGGACAATGTGTATTGCTGTGTTAAATGACACAGCTGACAGGGAAACTATGACACTTTCTCAAAAAATCGATCACACAATTCTTTACAATCCAGCATCTCCAGCCTTGGTAAACCCTAAAGAAGCAAAAGGAGAGGCTCAAACAGACCTGTACTTGCATTTCCATGCACATAAGGGCAGTAAGCACAATAGCAGAGGTGAAAACAACCCAAGCACCCATCAGCAGAGGAATGGAGAAGCAAAACTGACATATATATGATGAAATATTAGCCTTAAAAAGGAAATGAGCCAGGCATGGTGGTACCTAGGTAATCTCAGCATTTCCAGAGGCTGAGGCAGGAGGACTGCAATTTCCAGTCCAGCCTGGGAAACTTAGCAACTATCTCAAAATAGCAAGTTCTTAAAAAAAAAGGGCTGAAGGGCCAGGGATGTAGCTCAGCAACGCAGAGTCTGCCTGGCAAGCTCAATCCTGAGTTCAACTCCCAGTACCAAAAAAATTAAGTTAGGGGCTGGGGATTTAAATGGTTCCGCCACCTGCCTTGCAAGCACAAGGACCCGAGTTTGATCCCCCGTACCAAAAAAAAAAAAAAAAAAAAAAAAGTTAAAAAAGGGCTTAGGAAGTAGATCAATGTGAATGCCCTGGCTGGGTTCAATCCCCAGTACCACTAAAAACAAAAAAAATTTTGTTTTTCCTTCTTCCAAGTCCTTTACCTTTACCAAAGGGAAATCTTGTTTCCTGCAACGCACAATCATTCGGGGCTCCAACAACTGGTACAAACCCTGTAAGAAACAATCAGACGTTAGTGGAAAATGCACACTAGCTCTGACGAACAGTCCCTGCACATGGAAAGCGGACCCTCGGAAGTCCCAGAGGACATGCACAGAGCGTGAGAGGCATGGCCAGACAGCACAGCCCAGTACAGAGCGGCTCTGATCTGTTACCCTTTTCCATCAACCGCAGACTTCATCATGAGCATGAGTAATGCAGGCACTCACATCCCAGGAGTACATAATTCTATCTGAAGCAAGTGTTTTAATGGTAAAAATCAAACTAGAGAAGTTTTAAAATGGAGGCTGCAGGAAGATTCGCGCCTCAAGTTATAGAACAGTAATAAGACTATATAAAAGAGTAGTAATCCTGGAAGTCTTAGTCTTATCCAGCCAGACATTCCCCAATCCCTTTTTCTTTTACTATCCTGTGTGGAACCCTTTTCTTTGGGGGGACAGTGACCTATACCCCCAGCCCACCCTCCTTCCTTCCCTTCCTCTTTCCTTTAGTATTATTATTGTCATTATTATTTTTCAGGACAGGTCTTGCTATGTAGCCCAGGCTGGCCTTGAACTCACAGTGATCCTCCAACCTCAGCCTCCCGAGTTCTGGGATTACAGGTGTAAACAACCATGCCTGGCTTTTATTTTTTATTTTGAGCCAGGGTACGCTAGTCACCTAGGTTGGACTGGGCTCAAAGTTGTAATTCCCCTGTCTCTGCCTCCCAGGGTGCAGGGACTAATGTTGTGGGTGCCACATGTGTACTTTAAACAGGTAGATTTAAGGAAAAGAGCCAAGATGAAGCAACAGAAATAAAGCTGGAGTCTAACAGATCCTGTAATTTTCCCTTTTGGTTTCTTAAGACAAGGTCTCAAGAAGGATAGCCTGAGCCAGGGATTTAGCTCAGTGGTTCCAGCGCCTGCCTTGCAAATACAAGCACACGAGTTTGATCCCCAAAAAGAATAGCCTGTGTAACCTAGGCTATCCTTAAACTTGTGACAATCCTCTTGACTCAGCCATGCACCACCATGCCTGCAGATCCTATAATTATCTCAGTATGACTACACATGATAGATGTGGCTTGTATACCTGGAGCACACTGGGCCTGGTGGCACATGCCTATAATCTCAGCGCTCAGAAGGCTGAGACAAGAGAATTGCCACAAGTTCAAAGCCAGCTTGAGCTACAAAGTTAGTTCAAGAGTCAGGGATTTAGCTCAGTGGTGCCACTACCTGCTTTGCAAGTGCAAGGTGCTGAGTTCAATCCTGATACCAGAAACAAAAACAAAAACGAAACAAAAAAACCCTCACAAGCACAAGGTCCCAAATTTGATCACCAGTACAAAGAAAACAACAACAACAACAATAACAAAAAAAAACCCAAGAACAAGACTAGCCTGAATACTCAACTACCTTATCTTCGACAAGGGAGCCAAACACCTTCACTGGAAGAAAGATGGCCTCTTTTTTTTTCCTTTTTTTTTTTTTGGTACCGGGGATTGAACTCTGGTCCTTCTGCTTGCGAGGCAGGTGGTGGAACCACTGAGCTAAATCCCTGGCCCAACATGACCTCTTTAATGGTGCTGGCCACATGATGAAGTTTGAAACTAGACCCATTATCTTTCACCACCAAATAACCTAAAGTTGAAATGGATCAAAGATTTAAATATTAAAACAGAAACACTAAATCTGCTAGAAGATAGAATAGGTAGAATTCTTGAGGACACAGGAGTAGGCAAATAATTCATGAACAAAACCCGGACTGCATGGAAAATACTACAAAGAATCAACAACTGGGACCTCGTCTTACTAAAAAGCTTCTGCACAGCAAGAGTAACCACCAACAGAGTGAAGAAAAAACCCATGGTGTGGAGAAAAATTTTACCAGCTATACAGATAAAGACTATTATCTAGAATATATAAAGAACTCAAGGGTGGGGATGTAGTTCAGTGGCAGAGTGCCAAAAGAATTAAAGATGGGAAATAAATATATGAAAAAAAGATCAACATCACTGATCATTCAAGAGATGTAAATTAAAACAATGCTGAAATTCCATCTCACGCCACAAAGAATGACTGTTATCAAGAAATCAACCAATAACAAATGTTGGAGGGGTTGTGGGGAAAAAGAAATACTTCTCCACTGCTGGTGGGAGTGTAGACTGGTGCAACCACTGTGGAAATTAGTGTAGAGATTTCTCAAAAAACTAAAACTAGGGGCCAAGGATTTGGCTCAGTGGTTCCACTGCCTGCCTCACAAGTGCAAAGTCCTGAGTTCAATCCCCAGTGGCACCCCCCCACAAAAAGACAAAACTAAAAGTAGAGGTTCCATTTGACCCAGCTAGTCCGCTGCTGGGTATCTTCCTGGAAGAATTAAAAGCATCATATATGCACACCCATGTCTACAGCAGCACAATTTGTAAACAGCTAAATCTTGAAAACAGCCCATATGTCCATCAACTGATGAAGGGATAAAGATTTTTTTTTTTTTTTTTTTTTGGTACCGGGGATTGAACTTGGGTCCTTGCGCTTGCAAGGCAGGCCACCGAACCACTGAGCTAAATCCCCGGCCCAAGATGTGGTTTCTTAATACAGTGGCGTACTACTCTGCCATAAAGGATGACCTTCAGACATTTACAGCTAAATGGATGGATCTTGAGACCACACTCCTAAGTGAAATAAATCAGACACACATGTTTAAATACCACATGGTTTCTCTGCTGTGAGAAACTGAATGTGGAAATAAGGACTGAGACATATAATGGATGTTGGGAAATGGGAAGGAAGTGTTGAACAGGAAGGGAAACGAGGAAGAAGAGAGGGAGGGACAAGAAAAAAGTGAAAATAGAAGGGAAAAATGGAAACAAAGCTTTTGTACATGATGAGGGCATGGAGTCTTAAGGGGGCAAATGGGATTAAAAAAAAAAACTAGCCTAGGGCTGGGGATTTAGCTCAGTGGTGTCAATGCCTGCTTCACAAGTGCAAGGTCCCAAGTTCTATCCCCAGTACCAAATAAAAATAAATAAATAAAAAATAATACTTAAAAAAAAACTAGCTTGAATTGCAGAGCAAGACCCTATCTTAAAAAAAAAAAAAAAAAGAAAGAAAGAGAAGGAATACCTGGAGTACCAGTCCATCCAGCAGTACTTGGTACCTGGTTGTATCTTTTACCACCTTGCTGAGTCTCTGCTTTGCTTCAGTTAGCAGGTCCTGCAGAGAGAGGAAGAGACAAGAGTTATATATATACATCCAGGTAGTTAACTCATAACGCGGTGGAGGCTTCACTTCAAGACACATGGGAAGGCAGGTGCTGTGCTCAGTGTGACAGGTGGAAGCATGAAACACCACCCACGCACGCTCCCAGACTGCTCAGTCTGGCAGCGGGCAGCTGAGGTACCGATCCGCTACTGCTCTGAGAATCAATCTGTTGAGACAGTTGATCAGACCAAGCCTCGTGAATACACTTCAGCTCTGCCACTGAGGCCTGGCCCCAGCCCCATTTTCTATGAGACTAAAGTATAGCAGAAAATATCCGAGAATAGATCAAAAGATTTGGGAGGCTAGAGGCTAGATTTTAAATGATTTTTTTGGGGGGGTACCAGGGATCGAACTTGGATCCTTGCGCTTGCGAGGCAGGTGTCTGATCCACTGAGCTAAATCCCCGACCCTAGATTTTAAATGATTTTAATTTTATTTATGCTAGTTTGTACTTTCTACTTTGTCAATAATGAAAACCAACTTCTGGGCTGGGAATTTAGCTCAGTGGTGCTGTGCCTGCCTCGAAAGCTCAAGGTCCTGAGTTTGATCCCCAGTACTGGGGGGAAAAAATGACTTCTACAATGAAAATAAAGAGAGGCGTGGTGGTACACGCCTGTGATCACAGCATTCTGGGCTACATAATAAAGCTCACGCTGGCTTAGCTATATAAACCAGGCTGTCTCAAAAAAGTGAAAGCAAACTGTAGACCCACACATGGCCGACAAGATGATACCACCAATGGGAAAAGAAAATTACAATCATCTAATAACAACCTGCTTAAAAGATGAAAAATGACTACCCATTTTGACTTTTTTTTCCTAGTATTAGAGATTGAACCCAGGGCCTCTGCAACTGAGCTACATTCCCAGTCCTTTTCAAATTTTTTAAAAATTTGAAGCAAGGGCTCAGGATTTAGCTCAGTGGTTCCACCTGCTTCACAAGCACAAGGTCCTGAGTTCGATCCCTGGTACAAAAAAAAAAAAAAAAAAGAAGCAAGGGTATCACTAAGTCACTAACTTTCCCAAGCAGGGCCTGAACTTGCAATCATCCAGCCTCAGCCTCTTGAGTGCTGAGATCACAGGTGTGCGCCACCTTGCCCAGCTTATACTGATTATTTCACGTGCTACTTGGTTATTGTTGACACACAGAAAAACCATGCATTTCTCTATATTCTCTTTGTAATCAGTAACTTTTCTGGATGAATCACTAGTTCTGCATGGATAATCATATCTGCAGAAACAATAATTGTTTCTTCCTTCCCAACATTCATTCATTCATTCATTTTTTGGAGACAGGGTCTCACTATGTAGTTGAGACTGACCTGGAACTCACTGTATAGCCCAGGCTGGTCTTGAAGTCGCAGCGATCCTCCTGCCTCAGCCTCCCGAGTGCTTGGATTACAGATGTGAGCCACCATGCTCCAGTTAATATTTATCTTTATTCTCCATTTCAGAAAGAATCTTAGGCCTCCACAGAGGAGTAACAGTGGAGACAGTTACCTGTCTGGTTCCTGAATATAATTCAAACTCTAAGTGCTGTTTCTGTAGGTTTCCATCCTCTTCCTTATGTAAATGATCCTTCCAAACTTTTCTCATCTCTCCTGTGTTACATTTAGCCCACACTCTCATACCATGAGCCATGCCGATATACTGTTCACAAAATCAAACTTCCAGGGCTTCTCTACTGACATCGGCAGCTGCTCAGCCTCACCCTGGCCAAGGGCTGACACCCACCCACACACTTTTCTAGCCTCCTGCACACGCATCCACAGCACACCGCTGCAGATCTCAGGAGAGCCATGAGCTTGGCTATGTCAGAAAAGTCCTTGAAGTCAGGGCCTTCGTCTTATTTACGTTTGCATCTATCACAAAGCCTAGAATGATCATTGCTGAACAAATGTAACTAAAAATGATGCACTGACTCCTTAATGTTAGCTGTTGACTTAGTGTAAAGATCAAATGAATAAGCATTTTACAATTTTATAACTGACAGGGCTAATTACTCACAGTGATAAGGTCATCTCTCGCTCTGAGGACTTTCAGCCTTGCTTGATTCATCAAGTTGGACATCTGACTGCAAAAATAAGAAAAAACAGTATCAAAACACACCAGAACAATCAAAAAGTAGAGAAAGAAATATACAGCTTGCTCTGTATACAGAGTGATGATTTGATGAGCTACAAAGAGCTCTCTTTCCAATGACCCAAGGAAACCCAACTGAGATGCACTTAGAGGCTTCTACCAACTTATTTTTTTTTTTGGTTTTTTGAGACAGGGTCTCACTGTATAGTTGAGACTGACCTGGACCTCACTCACTATGTAGCCCAGGCTAGTCTCGAACTCACAGTGATCCTCCTGCCTCAGCCTCCTGAGTGCTGGGATTACCGGCATGTGCCACCACGCCCAGCTACCAACTCATTTTCAAAGGCCAGGACAGATGGAGGCCGGGGATATAGCTCAATGGTTCTGCCCCTTGCCTCACAAGGGCAAACACAAGGTCCTGAGTTCGATCCCTGGTACAAAACAAAAAACAAAACAAAACCAAAAAAAAAATAAACCCCAAAGATAAGGATAGCTGGGCACGTTGGCACACGCCTGTGATCCCAGCACTTGGAAGGCTGACCCAGGAATATTGCCTCAAATTCAATGTCAGCCTAAACTACATAATGAGACCCTATCTTAAAAAAAAACAAAAACAAAAATTTATGAATGCATAGCATGCAGCTTGGACTTGCATATTACTTTTTTCAATTTAATCTTTCAACACTTGTATGAGGGCCTGGGGATTTGGTCAGTGGTAGAATGCTTGTCTAGCATGAGCAAAGCCTTGAGGTCCACCCCCAGCACCGCAAAAGAAGAGAAGCTTCTGTCTTCCAAAGGAAGGAGAAAGGAGTTAAACAACCTGCCCAACGTCAGATAAGTAGCAGATGGTCTAATTAAGAGCTGGACTCCAACGTGCCATGCCTGTGACCCCTTGTCTCACTGACCATGCTTTGGCAGGGTGAGAGGTGGGTACGGGGATGAACCGGGCCATCACCCAGGCTAAGCAAGTGCCCCATGACTGATCTACAGCCTCAGCTCTGTTTACTTCTGAAAGCTCCTTCCACTGACTGCTCTGCCCATGATCCACCTACATTTTCTTCTGCTGCTCAATCTGCTTTTCCTTCTTCTCATAGTACTCCATAATCTTCAGTCTTTGGGTCTGCACAAGACGACCTTTCTCAATATTGAACTCCTCTTCTGCCTACAAGGGAATTAATTAACATTAATTCATTTTTTAAAACCACATTAATTCATACATTTTTTTTTCCTTTTTCACATATTAGATTTTGGCCAGGTTATTTTGCTAATTATTATTTTTTTGGTACTGGGGATCAAACTTGGGTCCCTGTGCTTGTGAGGCAGGGAGTGGCACCACTGAGCTAAAACCCCAGCCTTGCCACTCCGCTTTTTTTTTTTGAGACAGGTCTTTGTGTTTTTTTGAGAAAGGGTGGCTTTGAACTCATGGCAATTCTCCTCTGCCTACTAAGTCCTGGGATCACAGATGTGCATCCTCACACCCAGCAGTTTTATTTTCAGCAGCTGGTGATCAAGGATATTTGTTTATGATCACTTACTTATTCCACATCTAAAACAGAAAATTTCTTGTGACAGTCATCCTCAAAGACCATTGTAATTTATTTGAAAAGAAAGACCAGTGCTTTTTACTATGAACAATGAACCAGAGAAGTAAAAATTTTAATCAAGGATAACAATACCCAAGTCAAGGGTGCTGGAGCATGCTTGTCATCCCAGGACTCTGGGAGGCTGAGGCAGGAGGATTGTAAGTTCAAGCCAAGCCTGGGAAAAACTTTAAAAAAAGAAGAGCTGGTGATATAGCTCAATGTGACCCTGGGCTAAATCCCCAGTAACACCTCCTCCCAAAAGACACTGTTACTAAGTTATAAAAGGTATAAGAAGATCCTGTTCATGAAAAAAAAAAAA